GGGCCTCTCACTGTTGTGGCCTCTCCCGTTGCGGAGCACAGGCTCCGGACGCACAGGCTCAGCGGCCATGGCTCACGGGCCCAGCCGCTCCGCGGCGTGTGGGATCCTCCCGGACCGGGGCACGAACCCGCGTTCCCCTGCATCGGCAGGTGGACTCCCAACCACTGCGCCACCAGGGAAGCCCCCGCTTCTCTTTTTATAAGGACAGCAGGCACTGGACTGAAGGCCCACACTCCTCCACTGTGACCTCATCTTAACTTTGCGACAACCCTCTTTCCAAATAAGGCCACATTCTGAGGTTCTGGGCAGAACGTGGAGGGGTACACTGTTAGGCCGCGCACAAGCACAGCACCCCGCTTCTGGGAGAAGCCCTCTACTGCATCACGTGGAGGGCTCAGCCGGAGGCCTGGCTCCCCTGCCTCACGGCGCTGGCTCCTCTTGTTCTGTCCGCCCCAGGTGCACCAACATCTTAAACAGCAATGGGGAGCTGCGCAGCTTTCGCCCTCGGGACCGGGACGACATGGTGCGGAAGATCATCGAGCCGATGGCCTGCGATGGGCTCCGCACCATCTGCATCGCCTACCGGGACTTCGCCGCTGCCCAGGAGCCCGACTGGGACAACGAGAACGAGGTCGTGGGCGACCTCACCTGCATAGCCGTTGTGGGCATCGAGGACCCCGTGCGGCCCGAGGTAGCCAGAGCCCCTCTGTGAGCTGCCCGCTTGTCGGGACGGGTGGAGGGGCCACCCTTCTTCGCGTCTGGCCTCGGTGGTGAGGCCTTTGGACGTAAATGCAAGGAGGGAACTGCCCCTTTCTCCTGCCCTCCTGGCCGTCACGCCACTCCCTGCCAGACTTTATAGGCAGAACAAATGGCAGCCCGCCAGAGTTGGACCAATTGGGGAGGGTGGGCGGTGGCAGAGCCTCGGGGTCCTCCAGGGGCATGGCCATCATGCCCCAGATCAGACCTTCCCCGGCACGCTGGACCCCCACCCTCGTCCTCTTGCCCTTGCACCCTTCAGGAGGCTCGGTCCTGCCGTCTGGAAGGCCCCCTCCTGCTTGGCCTCCGCCAGGTAAGAGAGGGCGGCAGTTAGAACCTCGACGGCTGCCGACGCCCGCAGGACTGATGGACCAGAGGGGCTGGTGAGGGAGACGCAGGAGCCGGGGACAACTCCCAGGGCTCTGGTTCTGAGAACTGGGTAGATGGTGTTTGGGGGGCTGGGGGAGGGGAGGGCAGTTCTCAGTCAAGGGTTCGGTTGGGGCCGAGTGAGGTTCGGGACATCCCCATGGAGATGTCACGTGGTTAGGTCCTGGCCAGAAAGACATTCTCCAGAAGCGTCTTTCCACGAGTGATGGTCGTGGGTGCAGCGGAGCAGAGGTGGGAGGAGCCTGCGAAGGAGACTCCAAGGAAGGGGCCGGGCGGGGAGGGGATACTGTGAGGGGCGTGTGGCTGAGCAGGGCAGCCAGCGTGTGGACACAACTACACCCAGAGCTCTGCTGAACAGGGAACGGAGCGACAGGGCAGAGGTTGGCCAGGCTGCAGAGAGGAAGAGCAATGGAGGCGGTGCTGGTCCTTCAAGATGCGAGACCCCCGAGGGAGAGAGCCTGCCAGGCTGGCCCTGGAGCGGGGTGCTGGCAGCAGCTGCAGGACACCAGCCCCTAGAGAGAGTGTGCAAGGCACGGGGCGTGCAGGTTGCGAGGCAGGGAAATGCCCTCTCTCTCCCAGGGCCTCTCCAGTGGCACCCACCTCGTGTCAGAAGCACGGGCACCTTGATCCTGCCAATTAGCCTGAAAACGTGTGTGTGCACGGGCTGCCCTCAGCTCTCCCTCGGGAGACAGGCATTCACGTACTGGATCAGGCACCACAGACCCTGCATTCAGAAGTCAGGGGTCATCAGCAACAGCGCGTCCCCGAATTCCAAGGAGATAGGGACCATCGTGTGCAGAGAAGGGGCACCCGGAGTTGGCCCCAGGAGGAAGCGGGTGGTGGCAGAGGCAAGGAGAGAGACTTGGAGCCAAGGAATGGGCCCAGAGAAGGCAGGTGGGGAGAGGAGCTGCCTGGACAGCAGGGGCACAGGACGCCGCTGAGGGTGGCAGGGCTACCTCCAGGGACACAGGGACTGGGCCTTTCCCTTCGCCGGACCAAGGGGAAACTGAGGCGCAGAGGAAGGCTGTGTCCGTACGGCGAGCCGAGTCCTAAAGCCATGTGGCCCTTGCATAGACCCGATGGCCTCCCCATCTGAACAGAGCCATTCGCCACCGCCGGTCCCCAGGTGGCCGCTCCAGCGTGACGGTTGTTCTCTCCTTACTCCTTGGGAGGTGTCGACGGTAGCAGCTCTAGACTTTTCCACCCAGATAACTGGGGCTGAGTGAAGCTGCCGGAAAGCCAGAGCTCCTGTTGGAATGTCTCACAGACCCAGGAAGGCGACATTCACAGACCCCCAGGGCCCTGGCCAAGGCCATTTCTACAGCTTCAAAACAAACCCGCCCAGCCCGTCCACCTCCGCCCTTTGCCCGGATGGGGGGGTGTGAGGTGTGAAGCGGCTGGCAGCCGCACGGCACGGGGAGCCCTTCTTGCCTGACCCCCTGGGCCAAGGAGCCCTGCAAGCTTCCCCTAAGTTCCGGCATAAATATGTGTTGCAAACTGAGGCTCTAGTCATCGATGGAAGGTTGGAGGCCTGAGGTGTGTTTGTAGATCTCCAAGACAGAGCTGCAGAGGCCCTCTTCTGGCCCACGGTGGCTCATTTACAGAAGTGCCAATGAGGCTAGACTGGGGGCTGGACGTGGGGGCTAGATGGAACAGTCCAGGAGGGCTGCACATAGGCGGGGTGAGGCCCAGCCCTTCCCCCGGTCAGTGCTCTTCTCAGAGAGGGATATTATTGTTTTTATACGTTTTCACCTTAGAGAAAACATGGCTAAACGTTCCCTGAAGGTCACCCGAAGGCTCAGCCTCAGTGGCCAGGCAATGGGCAGCTCGTTTAAGATCCAGAAACGGCCTTGGTAAAAGGGCCCAGGGGACAGGATCGCTCCTCTCTGGCTGGAGAGTGGCTGAGTGAGAGGCTGGGCAGCAGGCGGGGAAGCCAGGCAGAAGCCCACGGGGACCAGCCAGCCACGCAGTGGCCAAGGGGGGTGCCCCGAGGGCCCAGGGGAGCCCCAGGCGCTGACGGCAGGTGGGAAGGCCGATAGGGTGCTGTTAAACTGGCCAAGATGCCTGGGGGTCTGGGACGGCTGCAGCCTGTGGAGGGCCTGGCAGGGGGATGTCTCTGCCCTGGGGAGCTGCGTGGACCCTGTAGGCAGACTGTACTTATGCCAGAGGGGCCTGGGGGCTCCTGCAGACACCTGGCTGCCTGCTGTGCTGTCGGGCCTCAGCCATCAGGCCGGGACCACGGCTGGGCCCAGTGGGACAGCAGGGAGGCAGGCGAGGAAGGACAGTCACCTGATGAGGGGGAGGGCACCTGCAGACGGAGGGAGCTTCCTGCCACCTGGCTTGGAGGCCAAGGGCCTTTCAGACCAGAGACGGAGCCGGGCCTGGGCTGAGCCCACACAGAGGAGGCCAGCAGAGGCTGCATCTGGGGCTCCCAGGGCTCAGGCTCATCACGGCCACTTGGTGGCAGCAGAGGGGCTGCTCCTCCCAGACGCGTCAGAGGTGAGGGTGGGGGAGCTTGTTGGAAAGGGAGGTATCTCCCCGCAGCTCATCCTCTAGCTCTCAAGGATCTCCAAAGAGCAGAAAGCGTCCCTGAGGCTGAGTGAGGAGACACGTTACTGGGGGTGTGGGAGGCAAGCCCCCTTCCGGGGGCTGGGCCTTCTAGGCCGCCTGGCCGTATTTGCTGCAGGGATCGTAAGGCCACTCTGTCCCAGGCCTGAAGTGGGAGCCCCTCTGGCTGGGCCCCGGGTCCCCCTCCTCTTCCTACTCTCTCCCTGGCTGAGATCACAGCCTCCACACCCTGGCTTCGGGGGCCACCAGCGTGCCCGGGCCTCCCGGGCCAGTGGTCCCCTGAAGCCCACCTCCCCTGGGGTCTCCCAGCTGCCCTGACCCCCCGGCCCCTGGCCCCAGCTCCCCCGGCCTGGCCACCAGGCCACCCCCGGGCCACCGCGTGCTCCCGTGCTCTCTGTCGTGCTCACACGGCTCCCGGGGCTCAGCCCGGCGGTGCCCACCTGGAGCCCACAGTGGGGCGCACCGGGCCCAGCGGGCTCAGCAGGGAGCCGGGTGTCCCCGGGCCGCACCCCTGGCCCCGCCACATCTCCTCGCCCTCGTCTCCCCTCCTGGCCCCTCAGGCGCGGTCGGCATGACTCTCCTCTGCACTGCTGTCTCGGGCTCACAAGTCCCCTCCTCGTTGGAACGGGAGTGTCTCCACTCTCTGGGACAGGGCCAGCCCCTCCCCGCTGGCCTCCGCTCCCTTCAGCACCGGAGGGGTGTCTTGTTCTCCCTTTTCTGGAATCTAATCTTATGTTTGGAAAATGGAGATGTACTAAGTAACCAGAGCGATGTCCCATTTCCCCTAATGAGCAGTGAGAATGCCTTGTCATGTCAAGCCTACGGCTCTAAATGTCTTAGGTTTTATATTATTAAAAAAAAAAAAGTGGCGGGGAAACACGTGAGAGCTTCCCAGAGCTCAGCCAACAAGGCCAGAGCCTGCCTTGAGTCAGGGCCTGAGCGGGTCCAACCCGAGGTGGGTCCTGCCAGCTGGCGGGGCAGCTGGGGCCAGAGGTTCCTTTCTTGTCCCTCCGGAGCTCACTGGCACGGCCCCTGCCAGCTGGCCTGCTAATGGGACTGGTCCTGGCTCGGCTGCTCTGGGTCTCCATTTCCCCAGCGGAAACTGAGGTTGAAATAGCTGGGTGATTTCTCCGGTCACCTTGCTGGACACGGCTCTGATGGTGCCCCTTGACAGCATTCCAGTGGCTTCTCCCAGCCTTGCTCGTGGTGTCGGGGCCTGGGTCTGAGTCGTCGGTGGTCCCCGGGGCCGGCACAGGGAAGGAGGCACCTGGGCTTGGGGGCACCCTGCTCCCTGCGGGCCAGGCTGACAGCCGGGGCAGAGCTGACAGGCCGTCTCTCCCGCCTCCTCCAGATCGCGTGGTGGAGGGAGGGCTGCTGCAGATCTGGATGGAGGAACGGGTAGAGCCCAGACACAGGTGTGTCTGGCCCTGATGGCCCCACCCACCCAAGTTGTCCCTTCCAGGTCCCTGAAGCTATCCGCAAATGCCAGCGTGCTGGCATCACGGTCCGCATGGTGACTGGAGACAACATCAACACGGCCCGTGCCATTGCGGCCAAGTGCGGCATCATCCAGCCCGGGGAGGACTTCCTGTGCCTGGAGGGCAAGGAGTTCAACCGGCGGATCCGAAACGAGAAAGGCGAGGTAATTCCCGGCCCATCAGCCCTCCCTCGAGTCCACGGTTCCGGCGCTTTCTCCACCGCCGCCCCCTCTGTTCAGCCCTGACTGCCCGCCCTGCCACCGAGGCTCTGCAGCGTCTGTGTGCTTTTCCCTCCCAGATAGAACAGGAACGTCTGGACAAGGTGTGGCCCAAGCTGAGGGTCCTTGCCCGATCGTCTCCCACCGACAAGCACACTCTGGTTAAAGGTAATGGAGGGGGCTCACTCCTCACCCTGCCCTGCCCCTGCCCCGGGTGGCGGGATGCGGGCTGGGTGTGGCCATCGCCCCTCGGGTCGACGTCCGCTCCCAGTTGGGTCTCCGGGTACTCAGCTGCTGGAGACTTTGTGTCTCAGAGGAAGTCACTGGGCCTCCCTGAACCTCATCGGGATAGTGGGGATAATAATGGAGACTCCCTCAAAGGGCTGACCTGCCAGAGCTCGAGCCTCCACTTCTCTGCGCTCACAGTATCAATGGAAGACGCCAGTAGAGACCAGCTCTCTTCATAGCAGATGGGGAAACTGGGGCCCAGGAGAGGGAGACATTTCTCCAAGTTGCCCAGTGTCGAGCCCCTGCCTTCTACCAAATCCCACCACCCTGTATCGTCTCACTGGGTGACGGGCCAGGGTGGGAGAAGGCGGATGGGACTGCCAGTCAAGGCACAGGACTTGGTCCCAAAGATGGTGGAGAGCACGGAGGACTGGAGCCTACTGGCCCCCCACGGCCCCCGGGCTGGTCACCCAGGGCCACAGATGGCACCAGACCTGCCCTGATCTGTGTTGCAGGGATCATCGACAGCAACACCGGCGAGCAGCGGCAGGTGGTGGCCGTGACCGGGGATGGCACCAACGATGGGCCAGCCCTCAAGAAGGCGGACGTGGGCTTCGCCATGGTAAGCCACCCGCTGTCAGCCTGGCTCACCACGCCAGGTGGGGCCTTGTGATGGAGGACGTAAGCTTTGTGCAGCAGTGTGGGAGCTAGCGTTGAGGCAAGTTGCAGAGTGCCAGAAGTTTCTTTCTCTCACATCTTGGCCACCTGGGCCTCTGCAAAAGCTCTGCCCTGTTGGTGGCTGCGGCAGCCGTGGCGCCCTCTTTGTTGTTTGTGAGCAAAACGTCTCTAGTACAAGGACACGTTTGGAGTGGGTGAGGGGGGCTGGGGAAGGGGCCCCGTGGACATGGTGTGTGTCCCCCAGGGCATCGCGGGGACTGACGTGGCAAAGGAAGCCTCGGACATCATCCTGACGGACGACAACTTTACCAGCATCGTCAAGGCCGTCATGTGGGGCCGCAATGTCTACGACAGCATCTCCAAGTTCCTGCAGTTCCAGCTGACGGTCAATGTGGTGGCCGTGATTGTGGCTTTCACGGGTGCCTGCATCACTCAGGTGGGCACTGGGGGCCACTGGGCCCAAGGAAGACCCCGGGCTCTCCCTCCCACGGCCGGGCTCCTCCCGCCCGGTGCACCTGGGCCCCAGTGTGCAGAGCAAGCCCAGGGGACCCCGCCCCCAGCAGGGTGAGGGCTGAACAGCCCCTACCTGAGGACCCAGTGGCGGAAGCCAGGTTGTTCTTGTTGCAGACTTTTTTGGTTGAGATAGAATTCACCCACCAAAAAATTCACCGTTCGAGAGTGTACAATTCAGTGACTTTTAAGTACATTCACAGTGTTGTGCCATCATCACCTCTAAGTAGTTCCGTCATGTTTTCATCACCCCAAAAGGAAGCGCCATCCCCATGAGCAGTCCCTCCCCACTCCCCCTCCACCAGCCCCTGGCACCCGCTCATCCGCTTTCTGTCTCTACAGACTTACCTATTCTGGACATTTCAGCTACATGGAACCAAATCATAGGTGGTTGTTTGTGTCTGGCTCCTTCACTTAGCACAATGTTCTCGAGGTCCATCCATGTTGTAGCAGGTACTTTATTCCTCTTGATGGCGGACTGATGTTCCATTGTATGGAGCGAGCACCTTGTGTTTCTGCATCCCTCCATCAATGGGCATTTGGGTTGTTTCCACCTGTGGCCGCTGTGGACATGCATGTGCAAGTCTTGGTAGACCTGCATTTGCACTTGTCCTGGGTCTACTGGGAACTCCGTGGTTAACATTTGCAGGAGCCTCTTCCCCTTTTTCAGTTCTCCAGTTCTCCCCATTAGTGAGTGTCCAGAATTTGTCTCCCTTTCAAAAGTATTTTTTAATTGAGATAAAATCCGCATAACATAAACTGTACCATAATAGCCATTTGAACCAAAGTGTACCATCCAGTGGTTTCTGATGCACTGCGCATCTTGTGCAACCGTCACCTATACCTCAGCCCAGAACTTTTTCATCACCCCTGTACCCACCAAGCAGCCACTCCCCACTCCCCTCTCCCCCAGCCCTGGCATCCACCCATTCGCTTTCTGTTTCCATGGATCTGTCAGTTCCAGAAGTTTCATAGGAATGGAATCCTACAGGATATGGTCCTTGGTGTCTGTCTTCCGTGAGGCTCATTTTTAACCAGCAAGTCAGAGGCAATGAGAAGGAAGGTCCAGTGTAGTTTCTACCTCTTCCTGGCCCTTGGGTGCAGGAATGCATCCGTCGGGCTCTTTTATGGTCTGGGGCAAGCGACAGGGCGTGGCAGCCTCCTGCTAACAATTTGGACCACACCTTCTAGATCACTGCCAGCAGGTGAGAGAAGAAAGGAGACTGACAACATTTTAAGAGCAGGAATCTGAAAGCCCAGCGAAAACTCTCTGCTAACCTTAAGAAAGCATAGGGATGGAGATGTCGCGTTTTTATGGGAAGGTTGGATTTGTTGCATTTTCACTTGAATTCAATTCCAGTCACATTGACCCCAAGCTGAGTCTCTTCCCAGGAGTGGGGGGGCCGGTGGGGTTTCCAGGCCCATGTTGGGGTAACTGGCTCCTCTCCACAGGACTCTCCTCTCAAAGCCGTGCAGATGTTGTGGGTGAACTTGATCATGGACACATTCGCCTCTCTGGCCCTGGCAACAGAGCCGCCCACCGAGTCGCTGCTGCTGCGGAAGCCGTATGGCCGGGACAAGCCCCTGATCTCGCGGACCATGATGAAGAACATTCTGGGCCACGCCGTCTACCAGCTCACCACCATCTTCACGCTGCTGTTCGTCGGTAGGTTGGCTCAGGGCACCCTGTGCTGCGGCCAGCCCCACAGGCCCCGGCCCCGTCCGGCAGCGGCAGGGACAGACGGGCACCTGGGGACCCGATTTCTGGTGAGGACCCCTCGGCCCTCACCTCCCTGCCGTCCTGGGAGTTTTGTTCTCTGTATGGCATCGGCTCCTTTTAGGAGATTCCTTTATTTCCATGGGGGCGGGTTTGTCGCTTTGTCTATGTGTGGCCTCTCTTCCTGACGTCAGAGGGCCTCCACGGGTCTGGTGACCCTTGACCACGTGGTGGCTTGGCTCTCAGCACACGTTCCTGGGAGTAGACTCAAAGTTCAGTGCAGGCATGGCGGTGGCCAAGGGGCAAGAGTCACCACGTGGCCAAGGGGCACCCAAACGGCAGCACCTGGGGGTCCTCTCACGGGGCCTTTCTCTGCTATCTCGGGAGCAGAAGCTGGTCATGGCTGACCCGAGAGCCGTTCTGGAGGCAGGGCAGCAAGCACAGAGGAGGGCCGGGCCTGCCCTGAGCCTTGCAGCTCCCGTTCCTTCCCCAGCTCGGGCCAGTGTGCAAATGGGTCTTAATGTCTTCACCCCTGTCCTGGGGTTTCAGTGCCAGAGCCCCCCCGGTCGGGACCCGGCCTTGGCTGTGAGCTCCCATTGCTTAGCCTGGGGGCTGGGGGGCTCATGACTTCCAGCCATGTCGCCCGGCGGTGACGCGCCCACCTGGGCCCGGCTCCCCTCACGCGGCCCTGGGCTTGCAGGGGAGCTCCTCTTCGACATCGACAGCGGGAGGAACGCGCCGCTGCACTCGCCGCCCTCCGAGCACTACACCATCATCTTCAATGCCTTCGTCATGATGCAGCTCTTCAACGAGATCAACGCGCGCAAGATCCACGGCGAGCGCAACGTCTTCCACGGCATCTTCGGCAACCCCACCTTCTGCACCATCGTGCTGGGCACCTTCGCCATCCAGGTAGGAGGGGCGGCTCCACTCTTGCAGGTCCCTCCAGGTCTGCCGCTCTCATTTCTAGAGCTCGATTCCTTGGCGGGAGGCCACCTTAACTCCAGGAGGCGCTGAGCATTCAAAACTAGGGCGTACTGATAGAAAATGTGAGGTAGAGCGAGGCCAACAGGCCAGGATAGTTGGTTTCTCGCAGTTCTCAGAGGGGGGAACCCAGAGCAGGAGCTGAGGCAGGAGGGGCAGGCTGAGCACTTGATGGTGTGAATAATTCCCGGGCTCTGGGGTGTAGGGCCGTCCACCCTGTGGTCTGGGACCCAGCCCTGGGTGGTTAGGGAGGGGGACAGTGGCCTGGAGGGTGAGAGCCCAGGAACAGAGAGAGTTGGAGTGCGGGCTTGGGACCAGTTGGTGTGTAGTTGAAAAGCTCACCCCTGGAAGAGGACTCCTCCCATGGAGGGGCCATGAGGCTGCGGGAGGCCGATCAGAGTGTCTGGCATATTCACGTTCAAGCATCACGTTCACAGAAGCCAGGAACCTGGCTAACATGACCGAGCCACACCCGAAGGCTGGAAAAGGGTCAGTCCGGGGCGCCTGGGTCAGTGGGCACCTTGCACCAAGCGAGGCCACGTGCCCGTCCGGCACAGCACCCACGGCCTGTGGTCAGCCGGTCTGGGAAGCTTCTTTATGCACTGGCTGAGGTGGGGATGAAGGGAAGGAGGCCAGAGAAAAGAAGGCTCCCAGGAACTGCCTGTCTACCTGGGTGAAGCAACAAGCCTTCTGACTCCCTGAGCTGGGCCCACAGGACAGGGGGAGCCCCGAGGGCTAGAGGAGCTGGCCGGACGCACCTCCCGCCCACCCCTCTTCCGCAGATCGTCATCGTGCAGTTCGGCGGAAAGCCCTTCAGCTGCTCCCCGCTGTCTACGGAACAGTGGCTCTGGTGCCTGTTTGTTGGTGTTGGGGAGCTGGTCTGGGGACAGGTAAGTGTCTGCCTCGGTGGCTTTCCCAGCCCTGCCCCTTTCCCATTTGAACTGTGGGCAGCCCAAGGTCCCCTAGCCTGCCTCTAGGACAGGCCATGACCTAGGTGCAGGGCCACAAGTGACAGCCTCAGCAGAGAGCATGCAAAGGGCCATGGCTGGGATGTCACAGCGCCCAGCAAAACCACCCGCCACTCCCCTTGCCACGGTAGGAGCTGAAAATCATGCCTTAGAATTGGGTGGCTTGGAAAATGCTCACATATTTGAAGCTACACAATACCTCTGTGAACCTTCCAGAGGGCAAAGAGAATGTCTCAAGGCCACCACATCAAAGTAACACAGACAGGGTGGCTTCAACGGCAGATGTTATTCTCTGGAGGCTAGATGTCCAAGATCATGCTTACATAGGGCAGGTCCAGGAGAGGCCGGGCACGAGCTCCCAGGTCCCCCGCCAGGGGAGTCGCGTGGCAGTGCAGTTTCTCCCAGCGGTAATGTGTGATGACATGCACGGGTACCACCATCAGGGCAGCTCCCCTGAGCGGTGCGGTCCGGAGACTTGAGTGGCGTCGGTCCTGGAGGCCTGTGGAGCCCGTGTGACTTAGTTACTCAATCTCCGCGCCCCGGAGGTCAAGCTGGTACATGCGACCCAGGGACCCGCCCCAAATCACCGCGGCAGTGTAGCCTGCCTGCCCTTGGCCCCAGGTAAACCAAGAGGCAGGGGCCTAAAGGTCCCCTCCCATGGGCCAGGTCAGGGCCAGACCTTGGTCTGGCGAAGCGAGTCCCTTACATCACACGCTGTGCAGGAAGGTGGCATGAGCCGCTCCTCTGGGCGTCGATGGAGGAGGGTCCACCGGCGCGCACACTGCTTTGGAGAGCAGGATTCGGCAGCAGGCAGGGGCGGCCCAGGGGCCGCCCGCAGGGAGCAAGCACTGAGGAAGGAGCTGCACACAGTGCCAGGGCCTGTGCAGGGGCGGGCACACACACTGGCCTGGGCCTGCGTCAGCGGGAGGTGGGCAGCCTGCATCCACTCCCGGCCCCAGCAGAGCTCCCACCTCTGATGGCCACTTCTGCCTGCTGTCCCTCACCTCTGGCGACCCAGGTCATCGCCACCATCCCCACCAGCCAGCTCAAGTGCCTGAAGGAAGCGGGACACGGGCCCGGGAAGGACGAGATAACTGACGAGGAGCTGGCTGAGGGCGAGGAAGAGATCGACCATGCCGAGCGGGAGCTCCGCAGAGGCCAGATCCTCTGGTTCCGGGGCCTCAACCGGATCCAGACGCAGGTAAGCCGCCAGGCTGCTCGGCCACTCTGGCTCTCCCGCTTCGCGATGGGGGCAAGCAAGCCAGAGGCAGGGAATGGGCGAGATGAGCCTGAGAGCGACAGGGAAGCCCTTGGGGCTTCCCACCATGATCACAAGGGCAGTTGCTGGATGTGCCAGATGACAGTATGTCTCCAAGATGGCCTCTCCCTGACGCCTCGCTCAGAGCCCAGGTGGCCCTCCCCGCTAGTGGGCACAGGTGTCAGCTAACGGCGTGTGCTGTGACCCAGAGCTGTATCTCAGGGAGATGGGGGCACGGGCCACCCACTGTTTGAATAGCTGCTGGGACTTGTTTTCTTTGCTGGGAGCTGCCCCAGGTCATGGGGAAGGGGCCTTCTCGGGATGAGGCAGATGCCCATTTCAAATAGCCTTTGGTGAGCTCACCATTCATTGGGTTATATTGTGAATTCTATGGAAAGACTTCATTTGGGAAGTGAACTCTGGTAACCAAGTTGGTCCGTTCTGTTCATCCCAATCTCCAAATATCAGTGCTGGTCAAGGTCAAGGCCGTCAGTGGCCGTCCTCTATAAACTCAGACAGCCACGACGACTGCCCAGCTGTGGGCACTTGCAAAGGCTTCGTGAGAGTCTGCCTGACAGAGCCACCCTCGCTTCCTGCCCCCAACTCTTCCCGGCCAGCCTTCTTGCCAGAATGTTCCATACTTGCTGTCTCTCTCACCGTGGCCTAACATCAGCCCTCAACACCCCAGAGGCAGTTCTCACCAAGGTCTGTGAGACACCCTCCCGGCTCCCGAGCTGGGCCGTCCCTCCATCCTTCCTGCTTGCAGACTGTTTCCCAGCGCCCTTCCGGAAGTGCGGTCCGCCCTGCTCTCCCGGCAGCTTGCTGTCCCCTCTCCACCTTCCTTGCCTGTCACTCCCACTTCCCACTGACACCGTGGTCTGCCCTGTCGCCTGGCTGTGACCCTAGCTGCTGGAAGTCCCCCGACCCCCGGGGCACTGGTCTCTTCTTGCCCGTTCCCCGTGGCCTGGCCCTCCCCGCACAGCCTCCAGATGGCGACCAGGCACCCCTCACGCACCACCTTCTCCTCTGCCTCACAGCACCCACCCTGGGCTCAGGTCAGCCCAGACCCAGGCCCCACCTCCCCAAGCCCACCTCCTCCCGCCCCCCAGCCCCTGATCCACGGCTCCCTCACTTCTACTGACCAAGCCAGAGCCCTGGAGCTGTCCCAGACCCTCTTCCCATCTCCCCACACACCTGGCACATTGGCATGGCCCTTTGAACGCGCATGCCCGGTCCAGCCACCTCCGGCCCCGCCCCCAACATCCTCCTGGCCCAGCCGCCCGCGCCTCTGCCTGGACCGAGGCTCCCGGGGTCCACCCCGGACCCCTGCAGCCTATTTGCAACATAGCCAGCGTGTGACACCCCATCACTCCCTGCTCCTCCCGGGCCTTTCTCTGTGCTCTGTCCTGGACCCACAGCCCCACTGCCCCGACCCAGCTCCAATTGCAGGAAGAACACCACCGGGCGCCTGCTCGGGCGACTTCCCGCGTGGCCGCTTGGCCTGGGCCAGGACCTGAGAGCACAGCTCTCCCCAGCGCCCGCCTCCAGCCTGTCACAAGTCACCATGGCCTCATCCCAGAGAATCCTCCATGCCAGGTGCCCAAAGCGCCCTCCCAGTGCACGCGGCTCACCAGCTGCTGCCACACAACCCCTGGGGCCTAGTCTCTGGGCACCCCTCTCCTCCCCAGGCGCCAGCCTCAGCTCCCCGGCCAGAAGCTCTCAGCCTCCCGTCTGCCTCTCGGCATCACCCCACGTGCCCTGCGCCCCCGGTACCCCTGCTGCCTTCCCAGACTCCCACTCTGCTCGCCCGCGTTGCTGTGCCTCCATGCTGGCCACTGTCTGGGCCCCAGGCCTCCGCAGCTCCCACCGGGGCCCCTCCTCATCCCACGGCGGCCCCGTGAAGCCTTCTCAGAGTCCCAAGGGGCTGCTCCAGGCCTCTGGCTCAGCCCTCCCGGCATCGCAGGCGCCTTGGCCAGCGTGGCGGGGGAAGGATGTCTTGGGCCCGGCCAGAACACTGAGCGCTCAGTAGAATGGGAGGAGCCTTTGTCGCCAGCTGTCCAGGTTTTCCCCGTGGCCTCCTGGCTGCTAGCAACTGTGAGCACCCACCCACCCATCCCGGCCCCGATGGGCTCTGGTGTGTCATGCTGGGCGGGTTCTGTGGCAGAGCCTATTTGCTTCCATCGGTGAGCCAAAGTCAGTGTTAGCTTTTCTAGCAGCCAAGACCACAGCCCTGCCCCAATCCTAGGTGTCCGGGAAGAGGTCTCTGGTGCCCCAGCCACCCGTGCGTCTGTGTCTTCTTACTGCCTGCGGGCTCTTGGACCTGACACTGCCGCCCCGTTGGTAGAGTGGGTCCCCTCAGTCAGAGCCTTGCAGTTCCGGGCTGGTCGGGTCCCTGCTTTCCACACGGGGAAATGGGGCCCAGAGAGAAGGGACTTGCCCAAGGTCACCCAAGCCTCCTTCCCCCATCCCTTAGCCCTGGCCTCTCCATGGAGCCACTCATTCCTCCCCTTGACTTTGTCACATCAAGTCCACCACACTTCTCAGGAATGCCGAACCA